GAAGGCGAGAACAATTCCCAGATTGTGAGAAGCCAGCTCAGAAGCAGAAAGAGCCTCATTTAAAAACCTTCAGAACAGCTGGATGGGGCCTGGTGGGGTTGGATCCAAGCTGGAATTGATGATTTCTGTCAAGTTCAGTAAGTGCTTGGTGGGAACAGGAGGGTTCTGGGAGCTGCAAGGGAATGATGCAGCCTGGAATGGAAGCCCATATTCCATGTGGGACATGTTGGTGAGGGAAGGAATTATTTGGGGTGATTGATGGGACCACAATTCTGTTGGTTAGGGAAGTGAACTGTTTGTTATCCTGCAGAGTGAAAAAGCAGGATGCAGCATCCATGCTGTGCCCTCCAGCATCTGGGCAAGGTGACCTGGATGTGCTCTCAGGGAGAAGGGAAGCACCTCTGCTCTGGAACAGAAAATCACTCCTGAGGAAAAGCTGCTATGAGAGCTGGCAGAACACAAAGCTCATTTGGTTTTGGTTTTCCAGCTGCATTTCCTAAGAAGTTGAGCTGGGTGCTGGCAAGCCTAGGCTTGAACTTCCCAGTGGGACAGCAGGTTGGGTCTGGGACATTCCCAAAGAACATGGTGACATTTCAGCCAGGGAAAGGGATCGTGGGAGGGGCAGCACTCTGGGACATGATGCTGGATTTCTGTGGAACAGCAAAGGGCTCTGTCCTTTAGCAACACCTGCAACCATCCACTGAGACCTACAAATCCAATGTTTTTGGTGAATTCTGTAGCCCTGAGCAGTGAAGGCAAACATCTGGCTTGTTTAGAGGGAATTTCCTTGGGTGAGTCACCCTGGAGGACTCTGGAATTTGCAGAGGCCAGCTGGGAGAGGGTGCTGGCAGAGATGAGATGGGATTGCTTTGTCATACCTGGGTCTTGTGAAAGTGCCATCAGGTGCCTGAGGGAAAAGGTAGGGAAGGAATATTGGGATAGCAGGGCTTCCTCCATGCAGACATCCCCAGGGATCTGTCAGAGGGAGAGAAAACTCCCAGCAGGTCTGATTTCAGCCTGGCTTTGGCTTCCCATCTTTTGCTGTGAACAGCAGGAGGTTGGGAACCCGGGAGGTTTTGGGGTGATGGAAGTGGGAATCCTGAGTTAGCCTGTGGATGCAGGGATGGGGAATTGCAGGGGCTTGTGAGTCTGTGGATACAGGAATGGGGATTTGCAGGGAATTGTAAGTATGTGGATGCAGGACTGGGAATTTGCAGTAGATGTGAGCCTGTGGATGCAGGGATAGGGAATTGCAGGGAGGGGGATTTGCAGGGGGTTGTGAGCCTGTGGATGCAGGGATGAGGATTGCAGGGGGTTGGAGCATTGGGCTGTGTGGGTGCCTCGGGAATCTGCGATTCTGGGAGCTTGGAGCAAGTCCTGCCTGGATTTGGGTGGAGGGAGTGGGTGACTCCGGGGGTGTTGCTGTGGTGTGGGTGGGCTCCTGGCATGCAGGATCCAGGCACAGCCTTTTTCCTTCAGCTTTATTTCCTGGTGCACTTCTCCCTAAGGAGGCTCATGTCAGATGGGATGGGCTGTTGGATTAGCCTAAGTCTCCGAGGTTTAGCTGGAATGTTTTCTCACTGTAGCGTTTTTCTCCCTTGCTCTTTTCCCTAAGCCTTTCCCTACAGACAGCTAATTCTCCCCTTCCCCCACATCCTGTCATAGCCCAGAGCATGTCACAAGGAATTAACGGCTGGAAAGGCCGGGAGAGGCTCCTCTGGAACAGTCTCGCCTTTCTGTGCCCGGGGTGGCCCCCTCTGTGTGTCCCTTTTGTGTCCCATCCAAGTCCCCTCCCCCTGGCCATTCACTGGGACAGTCGGTGGCCAGGAGCCTTTCCCAGCCCGATGCCACGGCTGTGTCCGAGGGCTCCCGGCAGCGCTCCCGCTTTCCCGGGGGGAACAGGGCGGAGGTTTGTGCCGCTCCAGGGTTTGCCTCCTCTCCCGGCTCCGCATCTCTGACAGCATCGCCCGCTCTCGCTCCCAGTCCTCCTTCCCACAATCCACGTACAATCTCCTCAGAATAGGGATGATGTCACTTCCTTCCAGAGGGTGCTGGGGGGTGTGGAAGGGGGAGTCACGACCTCTGGCTCTCGGCATTCCCGGTGGATAAATGAGGTGCAGGGAGGGACTTGCTCTGAGGATGATGCCCGGCTCTGTCGGCAGGCAGATCCCAGTTCCCACGCCGTGCTTCCCTTTGCCGAGTGGGATTTTCAATGGCTGCAGGAAGAGTTTGCTGCTCCCTCCTGAGCTTGTGATGCCTGTCTCCCTGGATATGCACTTTTCCTGAAATACCCTTCTGGGAGAGGAGGATGCGCAGCGGCTGGACCACATGCCATGTAAGGTTCCTGCTTCCCTAGGTCTTGCCCCGCTCTGAGGGGGCTCCTTGTGCATGTGCTTCCCTTTTTTCAGTGCTGGGAGCTTGGGGCTGCTTGTACTGGGATTCAGCTTTCAAGATCCTGGGAATGTTTGGCTCTTTGCAGCAGTTTTAGGGACAGTGTGAGGTTCTTGCTGTCACAGAGCCGGGGTCAGTGGTCTCAGGGCTCTTTGCACTCCAGCCTTCCGGTCCTCCCAGTTCCTCTGCTGGATCGTATCTTCAGCATCTTAAAACAGTTCCTGGGATATGCTGTGCTGGGATGAAGCTGAAGAGTCCTCACAGTGAGAGCTTTTTCTGGTGGGTTTTCCAGTCTCAGGCCTTCCATCATCTCCCTCCTTTCCAAAGCAGGGGCAAAGCCCTGAACCTCCTGGTTTAAATTCAGGAATCTTTGGGAATAAATTGGGAATGTTCCTGCCCTGGGAGCCTGGTGAGTGGAGTGACAGTTCCACAGTGAGTATTCCCGTATGTGACAGTGAGTGACAGGCTTCTCTGCTCTGTCCCCATCTGTTGCCGTGGATAAGGAATCCACACTGGATATTTGTTGCTGTCGTCGATATCCTGCTTCTCGAACTGGGAGAGGGTGCTGGGAACTGGGAGAGCCCAACTGGAGGGGTGGAAGAGTTCCGGAAGGCGCGTTGGTGGGACACAGCCGAGGGATGACGGGAACGGAGCTGGACTGGACGGTGCTGGAGGTGTATCCAGGGTTTGTGATATCCCAGCTATCCTGGGTGGTGAATGACAGGCACGATGGGGCTGGCAGGCAGTCTCCAGATGGCCAGAGGAGTGAAGGTAGAGCTGGAATGTACCCAGTGCTCTGATTATTCTGTGCTGAGGAAGTGGGAATCCAAATGGCGTTGGAATTTCGCATTTGCTTTGTTTGTGGAGTGGAGCATTTCTTTCAACTGAGTGACAAGCTGGAAGCGGCCTGTTAACTATGGAATCTCCTGGAATTTGAGGGGATTGTGTTGGTTTTCAGTAATGGGTGGCTGAAATGGGTTGGAAGATCCATCCCAGTGGCTGTGGGTGTTGCCACAGGAGAGGAGACTCTGGATTTGGAATATTCTGGGAAGTGGTGGGGTAACCACACCTGACTGCTGGGGTGGATTTAGTGGGACAGGGCAGGAATTGGTGCCATGGGCTGTCTCAAACCCAACATTTGTGTTATCTGGAGGGTTCAACTTAGTTTAAATCATGAGCAACCTGGACTGGTGGGAACTGTCCCAATCCATGACAGGGAGGTGGAACTGGATCATCTTCAAGCTCCCTTTCTATCCAAGCTATGCTGGAATTCTATGGATGTCCTCTCCTTTCTAATTTGTTTTACCCACAGCACTAAATTAGGGGCATCATATCCAAGTGTGGGGTTTTTTTTGCCTGGTACAGGAAGTATTGCAGGTAATATTCCCTTGGGAATGCTGTCAGAAATCCTGTTGTAAGTAATGGATGAGGACACTTAGTTGTCTGCTGTTGGGTTCCCAGAGGCAAAAATCCAAGAGCACTTAGGGATTTGCAAGTGCAGCTTTGGAACAGCATGGCCACCACAGGCCATGGGTGGAGCACTCCAGCAGCAGTGCATGGATGTGGGAATTGGGAGGTTGGAGGAGTTGGGAACTGAGATGGATCAACTGGGAGAGCTTGGAGCAGAGTGGCACAAGTGAGGTGGAGCGTTCCCTGGTAGCACAGGTAAGAAGTGGGACAGGGATTAGGGCACGGAAAGAGGGACAGGACTAATCCTCCAATCCAGAAATCCCTGGTGTCTGTGGAAAGAGTGCAAAGACACCATCCTGGATTTGGCAAAACCAAGGAGAGTTCCTGGTAATGGGTCATGTGTTGAGCCAGGAAGGCAGGAATGGGATAAGGTGTGCTGCCAGAGTCCCTCTGGAGCAGTTTGGAGTATGGCCAGCTGGGATGGAGTGGGATGGCTGTGCTGGAGGAGGCTGGAGCGCCCTGTGCAGTCTCGTGACTTTGCAACACTCCTGTTTCTATTTTCCAAAGGGTTTGGGAAGCCCTAAAAATAGGAGCACAAACAAAACCCAGGGAGGAACAGCAGCTCCTCAGTCTTCCACCTTGGAATTGGTTGTGCCTGTCAGGGCCGGTGCGGATGCGACGGAGATGTGGAGCTGGCAGGATGCTCCTGCTGGTCCATGGGGAGATCTCCTAGGAGCCAATATCCTCACTGAAAGTGCTGTTGGGAGCCAGTCTATAGTTCCCCAGATGCTGTCACTGGCTGCTAATGGATATTTTGACTTCCTGAGCCAAGTGTGGGAGGGAGAATTGTTGGACAACAACAGCCTGGCAGCAGGTTTGTGCATGGAAAAACACAGTAACAGGGTTTTCCAGAGATTTGAGGCCAGGATGACCTGTCCCAAATCCCACAGTGGCTGCTCACCATCACAGCCTAACAGGATTCCAGGTAATCCCATGAAGTGGATCTGGATGAGTTACACACTGGCGTCACCTAATGCTTCCCACTCCTTCAAATCCCAGCCCTCCTTCCCGAGCATGCCATGCCCCCTGGTGCTGGAAGGAAGCAGCTCTGGGATAAACCAGGTTGGCTCTCAGGTTGTGGGGCTCTCCAGAGGGGGCTGGAGAGGCTCAGCAGCAGCTTTGCTTCCATTCTTTTCCAGGAGGTGAGTGCTGTGCCTGCTGAACTTCCCGGGACCTGCCAGCCATGCCAGGGATTGTCGTGTTCCGCCGGCGCTGGTCTGTGGGCAGCGATGACCTGGTTCTGCCAGCCGTCTTCCTCTTCCTCCTTCACACCACCTGGTAAGTGAGAAGGGCACAAGGATGCTTGGAATTCACCCAGGAATTCTTCTGGCTATTTCTGGCATGGCTGGAAATTCTCCCTGCGCTTCTACATGGGGCCAGAAAGTTTGGTTGGGACATTCCTGATGAACACCAACATTTTTCCAGCTTCTGTTCCCGTTTTCCAGCTAAGCTCTGTTCCAAGTTCTAGCCTAGTTCCAAAGAGTCTGACCAGAGCTTTTTGTTATCCTCCTGTGCTGCCCAAGATTCTCCACTAGAATTTAGGGTCGTGTTTCTCTACAGAAGCTCAGGAAAAACAGGCATGGAATTCTGGAATGGTTTGGGCTGGAAGAGGCCTCAAAGACCATCCAATCCCAACCCCCTGCCATGGGCAGGGATGGCTCCCACATCCTAGGTTGCTCCAAACCCCGTCCAACTTGCCCTTGAACACTTCCAAGGGATGTGGCAGCCACAACTTCTCTGGAGTGGCAAATCCCACGGGATAATGTGGCATGGATGAAATGATTCTGCTGGGGGTAGCAGGGCCTCTGGATGGCTTGTGGGGGTTTGGGACCCAAATGAAGAATAATGTAAGGAGCTGTGGGATATTCTGTGGTTTCCTTGGCTTTCCTGCCCGGCAGGTTTGTGATCCTCTCGGTGGTGCTCTTCGGGCTGGTGTACAATCCCAACGAGACGTGCTCCCTGAACCTGGTGGACCACGGCCGGGGCTACCTGGGGATCCTGCTGAGCTGCATGATCGCCGAGCTGGCCATCATCTGGCTCAGCATGCGCGGGAGCATCCTGTACACGGAGCCGCGGGACTCCATGCAGTACGTCCTCTATGTGCGACTGGGTAAGCGGCCGGAGCCTCCGTGCTTCCCCGTGCTCTGCCCTGGAGCCTCCTCTCCCTGCCTAGTGGGGCTCCTCTGGCACGGCCAGATGGCTGCCAGGATGTGCCGTGCATCCCGATGAATCCATAGGCTGCGCCTTGTCACGGCTGTCACACTGGCGGGCGATGTCCCAAATAGCCTCCTTTTCCCTCATGGAATCTGCTCCCCTTCTGTCTCTCTTTCCCCCCCCCTATGTTTTCCAAGGATAGAGGCATACATCCCAAAGGTTCTGACCCTGAGGTGTTGCCTCTTGACTCACCTGATTCATCCCTCCAGGCACTGGGAGCAAAAGAGGTTTTCTACCTGCTCACTCCCTTTATCTTCCTATAAGCAATTCCTCTTGTTCCCTCTCCAAAAACTAGAGCAGGGAAGAGAGTTATTCCTTGATCCCTCATTCCCTTTTAGCTTGTTTTCCCTGGATTCTGTTGCCTTCCAGGTACAGAAATTTAATCAGATTTTTCTGTGCCAAATGAAAGGTTTTAAGAGAAAAATCTTGGGGGATTCAGAGCCAAATCCATTCCAAACAAATCATCCATTTGCATCCCTGCTTTTTGCCGGGTTGTTTTCCTGCAGAATCCACTAAAATAAGGATAACCTTGCTTGAAAGCTCAGTCTGGAAGACTTGGAATGCTCAGTGCAAGTCATTAACGCAAACAGCAAACAAATCTCCCTCTCCAGCTTCCCAGCCAGTCTCCCTAGGGAAGCATGGAGAGCCTGGCAGTTTGTGTTAAAACCAGACTGAGTGGGGCAAAGGAGGTAGGGAGAGTCCAAAGAAAGGTTTTCCTGCCCCCCCAGAACATCCCTTCTTCTTTCCTTAAACTCTCTGTGTGCTCAGGAGTGGGATTTCCTCTGGATTTTGGGTCTTGTATTCCCTTTTTCCTGGGTATTTTGCTCCTGGTGGTTGATCAGTTGTGCTGATGGAAGTGGGAGCGTGACCAGTGCGTGGGCAAGGTCCATGTGACTATCCCAATTTAAGCATGTGCTGTTTAATGCAGAGGAATTTAGGGAATTAACTCTAATGTGAACCTGGGAATGTCTCATCCCTGCACCTGCTGCTCCTGTCCTGCAGCAGGCAAAGGGGAGAGGAGCCAAGGAAAGCAAAACCTAACTCAGGCATAAATTGGGTTTATCAGGAACCAGTCCCAGCCCTGATTCCTTGCCCAGGAAAGCTCTGTCTCCTGGAACTGGTCTTTCCACGTCTTTAGCAAAGCCACTTATGGATAGATTCTGTGCCAGCAGGAGATAAGGAGGGTGAGTGGGATAAGCCAGGCTGGATTTAGTCTCAGCTCCACCAAAATTTAAGCAATCCCAAGCAAGGTATTCACCTTCTCCACACCTGATTGCCCACGTGTCCTTTGGAATTCTGGGGAGAAAGTGGGAGGATGGGCACTTCAGAGCAGTTTCCCAGCTTTTGTTGTTCCAGGGAAGCACTGTTAATCCCCAGTTTCTAGTTTGCTGTCAGTCACATGCAAAACTGAGGAGCTCCTTAGGCGCTGTCTCCTTGGAACTGTTATGGGAAGGGCTGCAAAGGTGCTGAGAATGTTTGCTAAGCATAGTGAGCAGGATTAATCCTGGATCCACACACTCGCATATTTTGGATCCGTGAGTCAGGCCAGCTGTCTGAGGTAGTTAAGGTTTGGGTCCTGTCATTCCTGCTGCCTCAGGGAGTCTTTCCAGCAGCGTGGGAGGAAGGTCTGGATCTCTGATTCATACCTGTGACACAACCAAGGGCGCTGACCCCTCCACGATCCCATTTTTTTGGAGCCGTTTGGAACATGTCACACTTTAGGCTCATCTCCTTACACATCCCCTTCCAAAGCGTTTTTATACCTATTCCTTGTGAGAAAATGGGAAAGAGGAGCTCATCCTTAGGGAAGAGGCTGCTGTCATCCGTGCTGTTCCCATTTTTTCCAGCGATCCTGGTGATTGAGTTCGTGTACGCCATCGTGGGCATCGTGTGGCTGACACAGTACTACACCTCCTGCAACGACATCACAGCCAAGAGTGTCACCCTGGGTACGGAGCTGGAATGTGGCCTGGGAGCATTCCGACGGATTGGCGGGCATCCTTCATTCCCCTGTGCCGATTGACTCTGGGAAGTGGCTGGGAGCTGTCAATGTGGGGCTTGTTTTCCTGTTTATTGCTTGGAACAGTCGTTCCATTCATCCGCCTGTGCTGCCGGCGCTCGGGCAGGGATCTGTGTTCCCAGGGAAGGGCAGTCTGTAAATTCTGCTCTTGCCCTTCAGAATGGTTTTACTGTTTTCCTGGAAGCCTTTCCCAGTCTCCTGGTGGGGATGATGTTAATGGTGCAGCCCCGGATACTCAGGGAGCATTTAATGGCCCCATAAAACAGCCGGAAGACTCATCCAGCTGTGGCTTAAAAGCCTTTCCAGAGGATTTCCTTTTGGGGTGGGAAGTAAGAGCCAGAGCACGTGACTCCTGTTTTGTTTGTTTTTTTTTTTCAGGAATGGTGGTGTGCAACTGGGTGGTGATCCTGAGTGTGTGCATCACTGTGCTGTGTGTCTTTGATCCCACGGGACGCACCTTCGTCAAGCTCCGCGCCACCAAGCGCCGGCAGCGCAACCTAAGGACCTACAACCTCAGGTGAGGCAGCATTCCCTGAGATCCTGGAATTCCAGGGTGCCTTGGGTGCAAAGGACCTTAAAGATCATGGAATTCCAACCCCCTGTCATGCGCAGGGATGCTTTCCACTAGAAAAGGTAGCTCCAGCCCGGCCTTGGATGCTTCCAAGGATGGGACATCCACAGCTTCTCTTGGAAATCTGTTCCAGGGACTCACCACCCTCACAGGGAAGCGTCACTTCCCAATATCCCATCTGTCCCTGCCCTCTCTGTCAGTGGGCAGCCATTTCCCATTGTCCTGTCCCTCCAGCCCCTTGTCCAAAGTCCCTCTCCAGCTCTCTTGGATCCACTTCAGGCACTTTAAGATCTCTCCAGAGCCTTCTCTTGTCCAGGCTGAACATTCCCAGCTCTCCCAGCCTGTCTTCACAGCAGACTGAATTTCCCTTCTATCCAAGGACACAGAGATTTAAGGAAAGAACCAATAAAGGGTTTCAGCATTACCAGTGCTGTGTCCTTATGGCTGTAGGCACCCAAAATCCTCCTCAAGCCAGGGAATTCCAGGATGGTTTGGGTTGGAAGGGATCTTAAAGCCCTTTAAGCCATGGGCAGGGATACCTTCTACTATACCAGGTTGTTCCAAGCTCTGTCCAAGCTGTCCTGGAACACTTCCAGGGATGGGGCAACCACAGCTTCCCAAGGCAAGGTTTCTGGAAGGGTGTCCTACTTTTTTAGGATCTTGCCCTCCTCCTTGCCTTGCTGCAAGAACCATTCTGCTCTGCTGAAGGGGGTTTTGGGAGGATGCAGCTCCCTGTCAGGTGCTGTGTGTGGGCACCTGCATCCAAAGGAGGCAAAGCCATGCAGAATCCAGCTGGATTCTGCCTTAATTACTGGATTTGTGGGTCCTCATGGACCCTGCTGACCACAACAACCTGTTTGTCTGTATCCCATAGCAGTGTTTTCCGTGGAAACAGTGAGTGTGTGCTTAAACTTTCCTTACTTTGAGGCAGCATCTGCTTCCAAATCCCCTTTCTTCCTTTATTTTCCTCTCCAAAATCCAACCTTTTGCCCTGAGGTTTCTCCTATTTAGTCTTGGCCAAGGAACAATTCCATTTGTGTTGGCAGTTGAATCTTTTAATTAAGAGTTGATTCCATCTTGGAGCTCCCCAGATGGGGAGAGAAAAAGCTTTTTTTCACCAAGCAAAACTTTTCTGAAGGATTTTTTCCAGTAGGGGACAACACAAACAGGCTTTGTTTCCTTTGATTTGTGACTGTCCTTGAGGAATGTGGCTTTGGAGGGCATCAGGATCCGAGGGATAAAAAATGAGGCTTTCAAAAACCACTCCATAAATATCCCATTTTTCATTTGGTTTATGTATTTTTCTGTATTCCAATGACTTGGAGTGAGGTCCCTTTTGAGGGAAAATGGTCTTTTCTAAGAATAGTGCATCAAGTTCTGTGAGAAGGAGCCTGGGTTTTTTTGTGGAATGTCAGATATTCCTCCTGACCTTTCCAATGTGTTACAGTGGCCTGGAATATTTGGAATTAGTGCCCAGCATGGTGATTGCTGCTTGGAATCAGGACATTCCCAGGAAGATAAGAAGGATGATACTGTGGATGTAGTACTGCATCCAAAGAAAAAAATTCTTTCCTGTGAGAGTGGTGAGGCATTGGAATGGTTTTCCCAGAGCAGCTGTGACTACTCCATCCCTGGAAATGTCCAAGGCTGGATGGGGCTTGGAGCAATCTGGGACAGTGGGAGCTGTCCCTGCCCATGGCAGGGGCTGAAACTGGATGAGCTTTGTGCTCCCTTCCATCCCAAACCGTTCCAGAATTCTTGATGATTTTTCCAAAGCAAATCCGAGCTCCACAGCTTGCACAAGTAAATTCAAACCAACCCCAAAATTCTCTCCTCTGTGGGGAATTTTGAGATTCCAGAAAGCTGAGTGAAGGCCTTTCTCCCTTGGCTGGGTTTTTCCCTCCAGGCCTGCAGTATTTATGGAGAGCTTGTTCCTGCTGTTCATGGATTTTCCCTCTGGAAAGGGAATGTTAACAGCTGTTAACAAGCAAACGCTGTGGGCTATGATGTGAAAAACAAACATCAAATGTGACTGTTCACTGCTCAAACAATTGTTTCCAAAGGATACATTCCCAACTTCTCCCTCTTGCTGAAAGAAATCCTTTCCAAGGAATAGATGAGGAAGTTCTCTGCCTGGCTGGATTGTGTCCCACGGTGGTTTTCCTTTCCCAGTGGCATCGTGGTGTGTGTGGGCTGGGAAAAAGAAACAACCCAATAAAAGGCTTGGCTTGGTGTGCCAAGGCTTTTCCATGGAGCTTTGGAGCTCCTACTGAACGTGTGGAAATTAGGAAGAAAGAATTTGGGAAAAGATGGAGGGAAAGCAGCCCAGAGTGCACTTGGTTGTTGAACCCCGCCAGGGAAATTCTGGAGTTCTTTGGAATCTGGGGGAGCAAAGCCCTGCTGCCACTCATATTCCCATTCCTCTTCTGAAAGGTTATGGAGAGCTGTTTTCAGATACTCGAGCAGGAGCTGATGGATCCCTGTGGGATCTGCTCCTTCCATTTCAAGCAAATATTCCTTTGCTAGTATCTTTTCCTTCCAAGTGCAAACCACTTTCTGGGCTTGGGCTTATCCTGATGGGATACCCTGCCAGAAAATGGAGTGATGTTTTATTTTGGATTCCTCTGGCCTGGATTAAATCTGTCTTTCCCTAAAAAAAAGAGGAGCTGTGGACCTCAAGGAGCTTGGCACTCTGGCACAGAGTCAGTCCCTACTTCTGTGGCAGGGAGTGGAACTCAATGATCCTAAAAGTCCCTTCCAACCCAAAGCATTCCTTGATTCTGTGATTGGGAAAATTTGCGTGTCTGAAATGCTCAGGGTCTCTTGTGCCATTCCCACTCCCTCACCCTGAGGTAACTTTTTCCTCCTGAGTGGTTGCACATCCTGGCACATGGAGCAGCTGCCAAATTGCAACAGGAACTTCATTCCATGCTTCCCATGCAGGCAGGATACCAGGTATCCAAACACAGTGCTTGATCCTGTGGATTCACACTTCTCTGGAGCATATCCAGGGAAGGGAATGGAGCTGGAGCACCAGGGGTGGCTGAGGGAGCTCAGGAGGCTCAGCCTGGGGAAAAAGAGGATTGAGAGAACGTTATCCCATTTTTCCAGGGACAGCACAGCCTGTGCCACTCCATGTTGTATCCTACACCATGTTCTGCCTCTCCTCACATTCCTGCTCTCCCCTTTATCCCCAGACACCGCTTGGAAGAGGGACAAGCCAGCAGCTGGACACGCAGGCTCAAGGTGTTCCTGTGCTGCACACGGACAAAGGACTCCCAGTCGGTGGGTACCAAATATCTCCTGCTGGGAATCAAAATATCAGTGGGAGAAATCCCTGTTTTCCCTCAGGTTAGGATCACATTTGGCAGCACTTCCTGGGCAGGTCCCATTTCCCTTTATCAGCCCCTTCCTGAGCGCTTTCTCCTGTTGCTTCCATCAATCTCACACCCTTAAGGAGGAGAATTTGGAAATGTGAAAACAAAAACCTGGAAGAATCACCAAAATCTTTCTGGATCTCCTGACAGTCAAAAACTGTCTAATCCATAGATCCACGTGAAGGTCACTGGGAATTTTCATGTGCTGCCATTGGGATTTTCCCTTGCTGTTCTCTAGCAGGGAAGGGTAAAGGCCTTGAAACTCCTTCCCCAAAAGTTATCATTCCATTTTCCTTAGAATCACTAGGAGCAGGTTTGTGCCTGAGGGTGGGATTCACCAGCATTCCTGAGGACCTGCTGGAGAGGCAAGTCAAACTTTGGAGCTTGAAAAGTTTGCTTTTGATTTAACTAAGTCAGTTAAAATTCTGAGGATTTGAGGACTCCTGAAGGAGCCAGCAGAACCAGGGAGTTGTTCGCAAGGGGAGGAGAAAGTCATAAAAATCAGAAGATTTGTGTACTTGCAGACACTGAGCTCTGAATTAGTTACAACCTCTCAGGGAAAAAGCTGGGATTTATCAAGGACATTCCAACAAAACCAGCAGTGGCCAAAAAATCCGCCCAGACGTTTAACTCCAGTTAGAAGGGCACGGAAAATGACAGGGAAAACACCAAGGGACCGACCACAGCCGCCGTGTCCTCACTAAATATAGCCCAGAGTTCGTGCTCCAAAAGGATGCAGCGGGAAAGGGAGCACACTGGAAGGGATGTGAACGTGGAGAGGAAGAGAAATGAGACAGGGATGGAAAGCTCCAAAGGGAAAGTGGAAAAATAAAGGAGAGTCAGGTGAACGTTTCTTCTTCCCAGGTGATGAATTGGATTAGCAGCATTTCTTAGGGAGTGCTGTGGAATTGTCCACAGGTGCAGCTTTCATAGTGTGGAAGGCTTCAGGAATTGTCACAGTCCTTGTGCAGAAATCCAGCACTGTGTCTCAGAATGCTGCCCCTCCCAGGATCCCTTTCCCTGGCTGAAATGCCACTATGTTCCTTGGGAGTGTCCTTCTGGGACGTTCAAGCTCAGGCCTGACAGCTCCCAGCTTATATGCTGGGGAAATCCATCTGGAAATCCATCTGGAAAACTGAGACCAAGGGAGCTTTGTGCCCTGGCAGCTCCCACAGCAGCTTTTCCTTGGTGCTCCAGAGCAGAGGCTCTTCCCTTCTCCCTGAGAGCACATCCAGGTCACCTTGCCAAGGTGCTGGAGAACCTGTCCTGAGGGCACAGTGTAGATTCTGCATCCTGGGAGAGAGCCCTGACAGGCACCTGAATGCCCTGAACAACTCTCATTTTATTCAGGATTGCAAAAGTATTCCAAATATTTCGAGTTCTTTTTAACGAACTTTCCATTTTGTAGTGACTGCTTCTCTTTTTTGTTAAGCTTGGAATAAAAGTGGATTCCAAATGCCTCACATTCCTCGTGCTGTTGAATTTCCACTTTACATCCAGCTTTTGAGCAATTTCCAGCCTCTTTTCTCTGCAGGAACAAGCCCTGACGTTGTGTCCTGGCATGGCAGCGTGTGGAATGAATGAGCACATAATGGATCAGAAATGAATCCTTTGCTGCCCATCCCAGACCCCATGGAAAAAAAATGTAGCAGCAGAGGATTGTTGTCCTCTAGGCTGGAAAAGTGTTTTATGGAATGGACATGACTTTGGGGAAAGGATGTGAGGTGAAGTCTGAAGCCTCAGAGCCTTCAGGGTTTGTAGCAGAGCACTCCAGGTGGACAAACAGGAATAATGTCAGGTGTTCCCAGAAAAAGCTGTTCCTTTGGAGCGGAAAATATGCACTGAACTTCCATCAGGGCCTTTTTTTGTCACAGCATCCAGGGCTGGAGCTGCCACTTTGGATTAATGGGTGTTTGTCCTGTTTCCTTTGGAGGCTCTTGGCATTTCTTGTGAGCTCACAGGAGCCATGCTAGGATTGATGAGGTCAGGATTTCAAGGATACTGCGGTTGGAATGCCGGTGGCTTTCCAAAGGCACTGCTGGCACAGAGAGTTGGCACCTGGAGCCCCAGTTCTTAATGGGGATTTAACTGGCTTTTGTAGGGAAGTGAAAAATGACTGAAAGTCATCCCACATGCCAGGAGTTTGGCAGGGATAAAAGGATGTAGGTCATTCCTGCAGGGAAGAGAAGGGATTTACTGTCTTGATGGTCAAAGAAGGGAGAGGAGAAATCCCGTCCTGGAGTGCTCAGGGTTTCCACAACACTCCAGTCTTGTGGGTTTTGATGCTGGATAAAGGATACTATGAAAACACAGGGTAAGGGTTCAGGTAAGGCTGTCATCATTCTTGTAGGAAAAGTTTTGGATAGCAGGAGTCAAATATGGATCATTGGTGGGTACAACTCCATGTTTTGTTGCTCCAGCCTCTGGATCATCCTTGTCTTTAGGCTGGAGTAATGACAGGTCAGCACTGACCCACATTCCAGCCCCTCTCCAGCCTCCCAAAATATTCTCCTGTAAGGTCTCATGGTTTTCTTTTCCTGCAGCACAGAGCAAAAAGTGGAAAAAGGACATTTCTCTTCAAAATATCTTTGTCCCTCTGCTCTAGGGCTTTGCTTGACCCTCTCAGGTCACTTCCATTTCTGTCCCTCCTTTTTTGGGTTTGGTCACCTTCATTCCTGGGAATTCTGCATTCAGTGTCTCAGTTTTACTTTTCGTGCCTTTTTGGTTGGGTGTCATCCAGATTAAGCCTGGAAAAGCCAGGCAACATGGACAAAAGGATCCCAGGTCTGGAATAAGTACAAGCAAGTTAAATGTGGGTAAAAGGGTCTGGGGTAAATTTGGGGAAAGGCTTCAGGTTTGGGTTAAGTTTGGACAACAGGATCTCAGGCCTGGGATAAATATGGGAAAAAGGATGCAAGGGCAAAGTTAGGGTTGAAGAGACTCTTAAATAGGACAAAATTTGTGGTTTTTCCTCATGGAATGGCCTTTATTCTGCTTTAGAAGAGAAAGGATGAGGTAGCACTGGATTGAGATTTGCTTGTTTTCATCCCATTTTCTCTGTTTTGTTGAATAGAGAGGGCCAAACCCATTCCCTTTCCTTCCCTGTGTCCTGTGTGAGCTGTTTGAATGTCGAGGTGCCCACACACGGCACAAATCCAGCCCCCGAGTGCGACTGTGGAAAACAAACACGACACAATAATCATGTGGTTAGTCCAGATCTGGCATTCCCTGCAGGAATCTCGCGCCTGTTTGGGAGGCTGAGCTCCAGAAACGAGTCCAGTTCTCACTCTGTGTCCTGTTTTGAGGCCTCCCACACCCAAACTCCTCCTCCCCCCTCTCCAAGCCCTCTCTCCCTGGATTTTGCAGGATGCCTACTCCGAGATCGCCTACCTTTTTGCGGAATTTTTCCGGGACCTGGACATCGTGCCCTCGGACATCATCGCGGGGCTGGTGCTGCTGCGGCAGCGGCAGCGCGCCAAGCGCAACGCCGTGCTGGACGAGGTGGGCAAACCTGGCAACCCCTGCCATGCCAGCTGCCCTGGGATTCCCTGCAGGGAAACAGCTGCAGGGCTCTGCCCACCTCACCTCCGAGCTGTTCTCGCTCGCTGAGGTGGGAAAGAAAAATAATGGGGAACTTCAGCAGCTTTCCAGGAGTTTTTCCCCTGTCAAACAGCGCTCAGCTGGTGTTGAGGCAAGTCTGGAATCTGGATTGATCCTCTCCAGGCAGGTGATACAGGAGGTGCTCTTGATGCCAAAACACCTCCAAGGGGGTTGTAGGTACTTGGAAATGAATGGGAAGATTATTCCCACTGTATAAAGATAATGGAGAAGACTCCAGCAATCTGCAGGGGAAATATTTGCTAAAATTTCCAAAATTCCTGAATTTCCAAGCTGCTATTGAGGTTTGCAGATTGTCAAGCCAGTAGGAAATGGATTTATTTTATTGGAGTTTTTCCCTTGATTTGGGATTCAGGTTACAGAAGGAAATTCCCAGTTTTCCAAGCTGCTGCTGAGGTTTGCACATTGTTAGCCCAGTAGGAAATTGATTGATTTTAATGGGTTTTTTCCCCCTTGAGTTGGGATTCAAATCAGGGAGGAGTAAAACCATTGGAAGTATTTGAGAGGCCTGGTTGGGATATTTGAGAGTGGATTTTTGTCTTGCTGTCACACAGAGGAATTTTTCTGTGTATTTGTGACTTCCAGGCAAACAATGACATTTTAGCTTTCCTGTCTGGAATGCCAGTGACCAGGAACACCAAATACCTGGATCTGAAGAATGCGGTAAGTCCCTGGGATATGAGATCCTCCAAACCCACCTGTCATTCTTGTTTTCTTTTCCTCACTGGCTTCTCTTATGCCTTTCTGCCCCTCTTTGAAATAATCCAAGAAATTCCACGAGAATGGAATAAAACTTGATCTCTGGAGGCTTGGTGAGGTGATATTGTTGTTAGAGAGTCAGCACTTCTATCCATGATTTATTCCAGATTTTGATTCATCCCTGATTTTGGTTTATCCCTAATTTATCTCTGATTTAGATTTGTCTGACTTATCCCTGATTTTGATTTATCCCTGATTTTGATTTTCCCACCAAATTTCCACCCCCTCATTATCCCCCTGCCATTTCCCCCTTCAGCTCTTCCTCCAGTTTACCTCTGATTTCTCCCTGATGTTTCTCTGATTTTCCCCTCTGATTATCCTGCTGTGTTTAACTCCAACCCCTGATCCAGCTCATTGGAATAATTGAGCTTTTATAGGATGCAACTGCTTCACATTGGCTTTGTGGCCCTCTCCAAGCATCCTCTGGCCTGCTGGAGGGGGGATATTTAGGGAGCTCATTTCCAAATCTGCAGGAAGCAGCTTCATTGGCAGCATGGTGGGATACCCCAGAGAATTCCTCAGGAAATCAGGCAGAGGAATCCCTGGGAGGGGGTGGCTCTTGCCTGGCATCCCCACCTCGTTCTCCTCAGTCACCACAGCGCAGCTGGGAGAGGGGGCTGGCACTCAGCACGTGCCTAACTATGGAAAAAGGGAATGGAGGGGGAAATTCCAGGAGATGGCAGGCTCAGGGAGTGCCGTGTCTTCCAGCAAGAGATGCAGCGGTACCGGGAGGTGTGTTACTACATGCTCTTCGCCCTGGCTGCCTATGGATGGCCCATTTACCTCATGAGGAAACCCACATGTGGACTCTGCCGCCTGGCCAGATCCTGCTCGTGAGTGCCCACCCTCATCCCTTTTTTCCTGCCTGGTTTTCCCACGTTTAGAAAAACTCTTCATTTTTCCCCATGTTTATTTCCTCCCCGTGGTGCTTCCTCCCTGCTCGATTTATTTTCTGCCTTTTTCTCCTCGTGTTTTTACTTTCCATCTCTCTGGGCTTCATATTCCAAACGCTTTCTGAATCCCTTCCAGTTCCTAGTACATAAACCAGCCTGTCCTCTGCTCCATCCTCTCTGGAGCATGGAACAGCCAGCGGAGACAACTCACCTGGCACAGCACCAAGTTCAAAAAGAGCTTCTTGGAGCTCAGAAATCAGGGAGTTGACATTTGGGTCCTGATTAAAAGACCTCCAAGATTTGCCTGGCTTGGGCTTTGCTCCCTCAGATTAATTGGATTTTTCCAGCTCAGAATTTTTGCCCCGGTGCAAGGGTTTGTTTCCAGTTGCCAGAATTCTGTCACCGGATTCAATTTGGGGCCAAGCTTTTGGCACTTCCTGGGCTGTTGGGAGGAATGTGATTCCTTGGGAATACTTTTATTTATGAGAGAGAAAAAAGGAAAATCAACCTGAGCTTCTCTTTTTATTTTGGGATGATTCTAAACCCATTGTTTTCCTATAAATAAACCTGGAGCTCAGTCAGTGTTGGCTTTTCCACGTTGAAGCACTGGAAAACTGTCCTTCCAAGGACAGTATCCTTTGAGGAGCCATCCCACCCCACAATCCTTAGATTCCTTGGGGACTGGCTGCACTGTAGCTCTCTCTGGTGCTCAAAAGGAAAACTGCACCCGATCCCAGATTTTGAGGCTGTTTCATGGTTTTATCCTTCACTTGGCACTCGCTGCCATCGAGATGAGGTTCGGAGGGCCCACCTTTCCCTTTCCTCTAGGAATGCCACTCCAAATCCAGCCTTTTCCCCTCAAAGCCGTGCTTCCTGCCCGCAGGTGTTGCTGCCTGTGCCCGTCGCGGCCGCGCTACGCTCCCGGCGTCACCATCGAGGAGGACAATTGCTGTGGCTGCAACGCCATCGCCATCCGCCGCCACTTCCTGGACGAGAACATGACCTCTGTGGACATCGTCTACACTTCCTGCCACGACGCTGTAAGCACAACCCCAGGCCCCCTTCCCAAGGGGATTTACCCTCTTCCAGCTCTGCTGGGACAAAGAAGGGAAATGAAGCCTTTTTCTCTTCCATTTCCATCAAAAAATTCTGTTATTTGGACGTAAATCCTGTCACGTGCTCTGTCTGTTTTTCCTCAAGGATAATCCAACAGGAATGTCTCTCCTGATCTCTTGCAGGTTTATGAAACTCCTTTCTATGTGGCTGTGGACCATGACAAGAAGAAGGTGGTCATCAGCATCCGGGGGACTCTGTCCCCAAAAGTAAGTGGGATATGCAGTGGCCTCCTTGGTGGATATTCCAGAGAGTTGGAGCCCTTCCCAGTTTGGAATCCTGACTTGGATTTGACTCACCTGAAGCAAGGTGACTGCTTTTCTTCCAGGATGCCCTGACGGATCTGACGGGGGACGCGGAGCGCCTGCCGGTTGAGGGGCACCACGGAACGTGGCTGGGACACAAGGTGGGGAAAACAAAGGGAAAACGATCCCAAACCAACCCAAAACCAAACAAAACCCCGTGGTTTTTTTTTAATTATTTCACTTTTTAATTATAAGCCCTCAAATGGTCTTAATTACTTGAAAAAGAAGTTACAGAAAGGGCTTTGAGGTGTTAAATAATTAGTAGGAGCAGTTAAAATCACTGGGCGTGTAATTAAAAACTCTGTGCAATTAGAGAATTCCAAATTCAGGAAGGCATCGTGGAGACCCACAATGAAATTCCTGGAGCCACTCAAGTGACTTTTTCTTCCAACAACCTTTAAGGAATTTTCAATCAAAGCCTGAGAATGTGCTTAAAATTCTGCTGTGATGGGAATGTCCTCCAAGGATGCTGGCAGGACTCGGATCCGTGAAATTAGATGGGTGCTCTGTGTCTGTGAGCAGCTCTGGGCTGGCTAAATCCATTTATTCCAGAGCTGACCTTTGCCCCTGGCTGGCAAAGGAACGACTGCTGAGTTTTTAAGATGATCAGGAATTTGGCAGCTTCCAAAGCTGCAGTGCCAAGCTGGGAAAGGAAAATCCAGAGTGAAGGTTGGAAGGAGCAGAGCAGTTGCTGGAAGTGCTGCTGTGGGGAGTGAGGTGTTGCTCAAGGTGGGATGTGGAGCTTGGAAGTCCTTGGAAGCCATAAGTTGGGAGCTCCAGCTTGCCTCATGGTGTCCTGCTGGAATACCAAACCTCTTCCCTCTGCTTTAGGAAATAGAACCAGGGAATCCTGGGATGGTTTGGGTTGGAAGGGACTTTAAAAATCCTGTTCCAATCCCTGCCATGGGCTGGGACACCTTGGAGGATCCTGGATTAGGGAAAGGTGTCCCTGCCCATGGGACTGGGATGGGATTTTAGGTCCCTTCCAATCCAAACCACTCCAGAATTCCACAATTCAGTGAAAATCCAGGAATAGATCCTTGCAGAAGTTGGCTTTGCTTTTGATCTTTATATGAAAATATTCCTCCACTGGCGACTTCCATGAAACATTATCAGTTTATTCCCTTTGTTCCAGACAGAGCTTTTATTTGTCCTTTGTGTTATTTCTTTTTTGGGATTACTGCCAGGAGAGAAATATTCACTTTCTCTGGAATTATTATCAATATTAATCTGCAGACAATAATGTGCTGTTGATTCCCGAGGGAAAACTAAGGGAGATAATGGAATTTAAAATGCATTTTTAATGTCCAGGAGTCAAGTTTAATATCCAAACAAATCCAATGTCTCACTTACACATTTAATTTGGAAACAAGGACTTGGCTACATGGGAGCTTTCCCAGGATTTGTTTCATTTGGGGTGTTTTCCTGCTGCTTCTGTCCCACCCATCCCTGGGGGTGTCTGTAAGCCATCCTAAAATTCCAAGTCTTGATGTTTACATGAAATTTTTTATCACTCCACAGCTCCAGTGTCACAATTAAAAAAAATATTTATCAGGCCTCTGAGCTATTCTGGATCAAAAAATAGAGCTGGAACTAAAGTTCAGGGATTAGAATGCCAAAAAAGGGGGATTATAACTCAAAGAAGAATCCAACTTCACTATTTTTGCAATAAAGTCCACTGATTTTATAACAAAGTTAATTTTAAAAATAATCCTCAGCCAAAGGGGTGAATCCAGATTTAATTGTTGAACTCCCAGGACAAAGTTAGTGAAAATAGGATGTTACAGAGCTTTGTTTCCTGGTGTTGAGCTAACCAGGAGGACGAGGAGCTGCTGGAAAGTCCTGGAAGCTCAGCCATGATCCCAGTAATGAGAATTTTCAACATTTTTCTCTCATAAATAGACCCTTCTAGGGGTTTTCCCCCAAAATCTCAAATATCTCAGAGCAGTTTTGTGCCTTTGGGATGCAAAAAATGCAGAATATTTCCTTTCCCTTTCTCTAAATGCCTGATCCATTTGGTTATTTATGTGTGAACTTGCAAAATTACGCCTAAATAGCTTTATTAACTTGAAATTGGATTTGTTTCCCAGAGAATTTATGGATGCTACATCCCTGGAAGTGTCCAAGACCAGGTTAGATAAAGTTTGGAGCAACCTGGGCTAATGGCACATGTCCCTGTCCATGGAATGAGGTGATCCTTAAGGTCCCTTTCAACCCAAACCAGGATTCCAGGAATTTTAGGGAATTTTTCCAATGGTGAATCTAAATGGAAGTTTACAATCTAATTCCATAATCATTAAAATCCCTGTCTCCATTAGGATATAATTACCAAAAACACGTCCCAAAGGCTGAGCAACATCCCAGCAGTGACATCACCGTGGATTTGGGTCACGCTCTCTAAAAATAGAATCCCAAATTCACAGTGGGAATTTAGATCAGTGGCCTGCTGCTCACTTCTCATTAGGATTGGGAGTGGAGACTCTTCTGGAAGCTGGGGAGGAGCTGGGACAAGGCACAACCACTGTGGTGCCTTTTGGTGGTGGCAGCATCCCATATATTGAATTTCCATGGAGTGCGGTCTCCCCTGTCCTGCTTCCTCTCTTCAGTATCCAGGTTAGGATCAAAGACATCTCAGGTACTGAGGACCTGGAAAAATCCATGTTTCTTTGCTTTTTTTTTCCTCACTGGCTTCTCTTATGCCTTTCTACCCCTCTTTGAAACAACCCAAGAAATTCCATAAGAATGGAATAAAACTGGATCTCTGGAGGCTTGGTGAGGTGATATCAATGCAAGACAGTCAACACTATTATTCCTGACTTATTCCTGATTTATCCCTGATTTTGATTTATCCCTGGTTTTGATTTTCCCACCTAATTTTCCCACCAAATTTCCACCCCTCATTTTCTTCCCACCATTTTCCCCCTCAGCTCTTCCTCTGATTTACCTCTGATTTCTCCCTGATGTTTCCCTGATTTTTCCCTCTCATTATCCAGCTCTCATATCCTCATTACCCTTTTTAACTCCAACCCCCAATCCAGCTCTCCAGGATAACTGAGATTTTATATATTATTATTTACATAAATTTTTCTTTGCTTTTGGAGCCAGGAATCTCTTCTTATCTCTGAGATGAAGAGTGAGCCCCCAATAACATTCCCATTGTACTCACACCATTTTAAGATAGGGATTTAAAGGAAAACAGCGAAGGAGATGATTTTCCCCATGTCCCCCCATTTTTTGGAGTTCAGGCTCACTTCCCACTGAATTAAACTGTAGCATCATCAGGAATTTATGCAACAAACCAAATTCCAGTTGCTTGTTTATAGCTGCACTTGGAATTGCATTGAACTACATTTGGAATCAGAGAAACACTCCTTAGCAGAGAGGAGGAATGTTTAGATCCAGATATGATCTTTCCCATCTTCCAGCACTCCTTGACTTCTAGGGAATAAAAACTCTTAATAATTTGGGATGAATGTCCTCTGACAGCCAAATCCCCTTAATATTGATGGCTGGAGAAGGCAGGAACTAATTCCTTGTGCTTTTCCCTTTGGTGTTTGAATCATTAACTCTGTTAAAATGATTCACACTTTTATTCCCAGATTTAAATTGAAAACTCCTTCCCAGATTTACCTGAAATAGGATAATTTGGGTTTAAAACCACCAATATTTAGAATATCCAAGTCTATTTCTCTGTTCTGCCCCAGGTCCCTTGGCCTCAAGTACCAAATCCACAATCCTGTGTTTAAGTTAATTGGAGTTGGGGTAGTTTTCCCCCTAAAAGCCCAGGAATAGGCCCTTGGAGTGTTCCTTAATTAAGAACTGCCTTTACTCCTTAAGCACCAAAACTTTGGAAATGCAGAGAGGAATCAGTTCTCCCTCCATCCTAATCCATGCTGAGGGACATTCCAGAGCTTCCTCACCTTCTGGATGTTGAGATGCCATTTACATCCTGCTGTGTGTTCCTGCTCCCACAGGGAATGGTGCTGTCTGCTGAGTACATCAAGAAGAAGCTGGAGCAGGAGATGGTGCTGTCCCAAGCTTTTGGACGGGATTTGGTGAGTACGAGTTTTCTCTGGACAGAGGATGAGATTTCCATAAAAACCTGGGTTTTAAGGGAATCTCTGTGTCCCTGAGTCTGTTGTATTCATTTCTCAGCTCTTCCTTTAATTCCTGGATTTCCAGCTAGTTACTCATTTTGTGGAATGGTTTGGGTTGGAAGGGACCTTAAAGCTCATCCCATTCCACCCCCTGCCATGGGCAGAGAACATTCCACAAGATCAGTTTGCTCCAAGCCCCATCCAGACTTCCTGCAAGGCTTTTTTGTTTTGGAAGCACCAATAGTGCAGAGCTCCTGATTATTTTCCTTTTCCTGAGGCAGGAAGTGCCACATGGTGGCAATGAGGGACAGGGAGCATTAAAACCAAATCAGCAGGAACTAAAATCCCATTTTTATGGAGATTTTCTTTGGAATGCGGTGGTGACTGTCCCTGTGGGCACATTCCTGGTGGCAGGGAGATGTCACAGGACTCAAGGGAGATGTTGGGAAGCAGCTTACCTTGGTTTATATGTTGGAAATAGTTGCTGAAGTGCTGCCTTGGGATATTTGGTGGGTGGAGGGAGAGATAAACCAGCATCCAGCTTTTGGGGATGGAGCTTCATTCTTGTCTGCCTAGAAAGGGAAAATGGGAGTTGGTCTGTTACTCAGGAGGAGTATTTCCTGGCTTTAGGTCCATAAGTGCCATCTGACAGTTGCCAAGGACAGATATTCCAGAGAAAAGTGTCCAGTGAGGTTTAGAGACACTTTCTCTGTGGGCTTGGATGTTATCAGGAGGGACAAAAAGCTCCCATCAAATCTTAAATAATTCAGATAGCTTGTGTGCCCTTCCTTTTTCTTCCCACCTTCTTTCTTTCAGAAAAGTCCCAGTAGGGCAAATGTAGAATTCAAGAAGCGAATGAATTCCAGCCTCCAGTGAGGCCCTGGCATGGGTTTCCCAGAAAAGTTGTGTCTGTCCCATCCCTGGAAGTGTTCCAGTATGGGTTGGATGGGGCTTGGAGCAGCCTGGGCTAGTGGAAGGTGTGGAGTGGAATGGAATGATCTCTTCCCTTCCTTTGCAACCTTAACCATTCCAGGATTCTGTGATGATTCCATGATTCAGAACAAGCAAGGAGCCATTCAGCTGGAATCTGGAGCGCTCATGTATAGAAACAGACTCCAAAACTGGGAGAGGGAGAGATTTGGGAGTTAAATTCAATTTCATTTCTAACCTGACCTCGATTCCTTGTTGTTGCCATGTTTTTTAGGGAAGAGGAACAAAGCACTACGGCCTGATTGTGGTTGGGCATTCCCTTGGAGCTGGCACAGCTGCCATCCTGTCCTTCCTGCTGCGTCCCCAGTACCCGTCTCTGAAGTGCTTTGCTTATTCCCCCCCAGGTGGGCTGCTCAGGTAGGTCTTGGGATACACCTGGGATACACTGGATCCTGCTTGTGAGGCTCTAGGGAGCAGTGAAATGGACAAGGCAGCCTGGAGAAGCTGAGTGTTTCCTCTGGGATGTAGTTTGGTATTCAAGTTAGGATGGCAAATAGCCACTTTCCCAGATATTCTGGTTTATAACTGAATTGTCCATGGGTCTACATTTAATGGGAAATGGGTGTAATTTCCTTACTCTCTGCCCCCTCCCACTGAATAGATGGAAATAAAGGAGATACTTGACCAAATGCAGGTGTCTGCAGCAGCTGATCCAGTTATTTGCACTTCTTTTCCAAAGAAATTGGAATTGGGATGTGATTTCTGTCATTCTGCAGCCTAAAATTTCTCACAGGGATTGCTCTGGTTTCCCTCCCTTGGCCATGGGGCAAAACCAAGGAGAGATTAATTGTGAATCCCTCCCATTATAAATGGGAGCAGACCTTATGGTCATGTCATTCCCAAACAAAACATCCCATTGGATTGCTGGGAAGCGAGGGAAGGTCCTGACAGACACCATGGGATTCTTGGAATCAGCTATGGATCATGAGAAGCTTCTCCTGGTAGTTCCTGCATCATATTCCAGGAGCAGCCAAGGGTTTTAAACCATCCTGCTGCTGAATCTGGATGCTGGCATTCCTTATTGTAGTATTCCCAGCTCTTCTGCAGCCAAAGAGCTACAGAGGAGGATATTTCAGGAGAGTTGTACAACCTTCTGCTCCAAACTTCCACTCCTGGATGCCTTGGTAGCTCCTGACCTGTGTCATGCCCAGGATCATCCCTAGGTCAGTGAGGCAGCCTCTGCCCATGGTGACTGGTTGGGAATATCTCCAGGAAACACACTGGGAATCTTGACTTCTTTCTTCTTGCCTTGGAAGTCAGGTTGCTGCAGAAGTTTGCCATTTGAATTCCCCCAAATATTGGGATATTTCATCCTACATTGTAGCCTCAGGAGCAGGAAATATCTTCTTCCTTGGCTGTCCTACCATTCCCAAACTATTAGAAAATGACTATGAGGCTTTCAGTTCAAGCATTTCCTTTCCCAGCTATATCCAGAGTTGTGTGCAGGGGAATGATTGGGCCATAGGATGTGGAAATCAGGCTCTTCTTCCACAAGGCACAAATCCCCAAAGCCTGGAGTTTGGATTGGGGTCTGTGCCCCTGGTTTCCCTGCCACTGAATAGGGAGTGAAACACTGTTTGCTTCTCCTTGCTCCTGTTTCTCTTCCAGTGAGGATGCCATGGAGTATTCCAAGGAGTTTGTGACTGCAGTGGTGCTTGGCAAAGATCTGGTGCCCAGGCAAGTGGAGAAGTGTCTGAATTCCTTGATGAATCTCTGCTGTTCTGTCCCAAAGCATCTGTTTCCTGTCTGAAACACTTGGATCATCTCTGTCTCCAGCTTCCTCATTTTCCTGTCCTTTTATTGTTCTCTGTATCTGTATTTTTCCTGGACACCTTTGTTGGGACTTTTATGGGCAAATCCCTCCTGTTTGAAAGAAAAGGGGGAATGTCTTACCTCTGGAATCCCTCCTTGTGGTACCTGGAATATCAGGTGTGCCACCCTCCTAGTTTCCTGTGTTATCTTGGCCCTGTCCTGGATGTGCTGCCACTTCATTTGGACCAATTTGTCCTAAAATCCCTGTTCTATGTCACCTCATCTCCAAACCAGCTCATTCCTTGTGCCTTGGCATTCTTTAACTTCCTCATCTCCTGGGATACATTCTGCTGAACAGGGAATGGGAGCCAGGCAACCTGGGATTTACCTGGATGCCATGATCCTGTCCATCCTGTCATCTGCTCAGTGGTGTCATTCAGCTCCAGGACACTTTTCCAACTCACCTGTTCTGTGCCATCTTCGTTGTGACCTCCCTCCTTTCCTGTTCACTGATCTTATCCTTGTTATTGTCCTGGTAATTCCCTGGGCCTCTCACTCCTGGCTCCTGCTCCTGGGTGATGCCACAGCCCACTTCTGAATCCATCTGCTCCATGTTGTATCCTTATAGTGTCCTTTTAAACTCAATGCCTTGTTTGCTGTGCTCCATATCCTTCTGTCCTGTTCCCTGCCCAGGTGTTGTCTTCCATATCCATAACTTTCTTCTTTTTCAGACTCACTCCTTCTTTTCCAGAATCACGTCTTAATCCCTTCTAGAATCACATCTTCCTCTTTTCCATAACCACACCTTTTTTCCAGAGTCACATCTTCCTCTTTTCCATGGTCACATCTTCCTCTCTTCCAGGATCGGGCTCTCTCAGCTGGAGGGATTTCGCCGGCAGCTTCTGGATGTTCTCCAAAGAAGCACCAAACCAAAGGTAAGAGGGAAGAACCAACACTTGGAGATGTCTCTGAGCAGGGATGGGGAATTTTAGTGGCAAGAAGGATGGTTTTCCTCCAGGCCTCCTCAGGATCATTATTTAGGGAACCAGAGGAATGATGGAAAGAGCTGGAGAGCTCAGTGGTATCATTCTGGCTCACTTGCTGAAACTTCACCATCACACATCCCAAATAACTGAGCAGGGAATTTTCTGTCTGAGCCTCTTTTAAAGTCTGTATTCCAAATGTGGATTTTCCTGGCCAGTTAAAACTGGGAACAGGCTGGAGGTCCAACACCTGTGCTTGTCAGAACATTGGGGTGATGCTGTTCCAGGATAAATGGTCTGCTCATGTCTTGGAGATAGAAAATGTGGGAAGTTGTCCCTCCCCAGTCTTTACCATTGCACCAAGATGGAAAAAAACTATAAAATACAAAGGTTTTTAGGGATAATACGTGATGGAATTTACCTGGAGAGGGTATATAATGGGGAAAAGAAAATAAACTTCCAGAAACATTTGGATCATCTCTGTATCCAGCTTCCCTGTTTTCCTGTCCTTGTATTGTTCCTTATTTATTCCCAGTGTCACTGTGTTTTTCCTGGACACCTTTGGTGGTGTTTCACACACCTTCCTTAGGCAAATCCCTCCTGTGTGAAAGAAAACTGGGAATATCCTGCCTCTGGAATTTTTTAAACCTCTCAAGTCTTATGAGGCAATTCTGCTTTTATTTTGCTTTTCTCTCCTCAAATCCTCCCTCCTCTCTGTCTCTCTTTGTGGGAACAGTGGCGGATCATTGTGGGGGCTACCAAGTGCATTCCCAAATCCGAGCTTCCCGAGGAGCCAGAGGAGAACTCGGTGACGAGCAACCGGCTCTGGACACATCCCAGTGACCTGACCATCGCCCTGAGTGCCAGCACCCCCCTGTACCCCCCCGGCCGCATCATCCACGTGGTGCACAACCACCCTGCCGAGCAGTGCTGGTGAGTCCTGCAGTGCCTGCTGGAATTCTGGCTGGAGAACTCTCCCTGGCACAAGGAGAAGGGGGTTTTCTTCCCCGCTGTCTCATGGGGACAGTGGTTGTGGCTGTGCTGGTGGAGTTATGGAATGGTTTGGGTTGGAAGGGACTGTGGAGATCATGGGCAGGAATGCCTTGCACCAAACCAGGTTGCCCCAAGACAAGTCCAGCCTGGATTTGAACACTTTCAGGGATGGGGCAGCCACAACTTCCCTTGGAAATCCATCCCATTTTTCCAGTCTCACCACTCTCACAGGGAGGAGTTTCTTCCAATACCTAATCTAAACCAGCACATGGAATGCTGCAACGGTTCGGGTTGGAAGGGACTTAAAGATTTATCCAGTTCCAGCCCCTGCCATGGGCAGGGACGCCTTCCACCATCCCAGGTTACTTCAAGCCCATCCAACCTGGCCTGGAATACTTCCAGGGATAGGGCAGTCACAGCTTCTCTGGGCAACCTGTGCCAGGGCCTCTGCACCCTCACAGGGAAGAATTTTTTTCCAATATCCCATCTAAACCCACCCTCTTTCAGCTTAAAGCTACTCCCCCTTTTCCCATTATTCCCAAAGTCCTTTTCCTCTTTAGATGATGATTAGCCCATACATAATCATGTCCCCATAAAGCAGGATTTTTGAGCCATATGTATTCTAACAGCTCCTCCCTCTGTTTTTCTTCTTTTTCTGCCTCTGCATCCTGCTGTTTCACATGCCAAAACACTGCCCTGCTCTTCCATCCCATTTTCCCTGTTGTCTGGACCCCTTTTCCAGCTGCTGTGAGCAGGAGGATCCCACCTACTTTGCCATCTGGGGGGACAACAAGGCCTTCAACGAGGTGATCATCTCCCCGGCCATGCTGCACGAACACCTCCCCTACGTGGTCATGGAAGGGCTCAACAAGGTAAGGCAGGGAATTGTCATCCCAAAAGCCACTGGGACAGGCAGGCTTAGCCTGGGAATGCTGCTAGTTAAATACACCAGGCTGTTCATTTTGGAGAAGAGGAGGAAAGGGGATGCTCCTGGTCAGTCTTGCACAGGGTATTGGGAGTGGAGGGTGACAAGGTCTGGGAATGGAATTCCTACAGTCCCAGAAGCTCCTGTTTCCAAATTTAACATCAGAATAACGTGAGGTTGGGTGGTGATGGTTCATTCCAGGAACTGCCATTAAATTGGAGCCCGGGTGACATCCAGGGATGTGTCAGGGTTTATCCTTCTAATCCTTTATCTCCCTGTGCTTCCAGAAGGCTCTGGGAAGAAAGAGGCCAATCCAGCTGTTTGAAAGCCTCCAGTCAATCCCTGCTGTTCCTCTGCTTTCTTTGAACAGGTGTTGGAGAACTACAACAAGGGGAAAACAGCTCTGCTTTCTGCAGCCAAAGTGATGGTCAGTCCTACAGAAGTGGATCTCACCCCGGAGCTGATATTCCAGAGCCAGCCCTTGCCCAGCTGCCCCACCGTGCAGATCGGAACTGGACCAATCCCAGTGGACAGGAGGAACAGCAGTACCAAGTAAGGAGAGATTTTATATGGAATATTAGAAGTGTTAATAAATACCCACAGGTGTGGGTCCTCTTCCTCTTGGAGCATTGTGATCCGTGTGTGTGGGAAAGATAGATCCATGGGCCTTTGTGGGTATTAAAGCTTCAGGATGTCTTGAGGACTGTTGAGGGGAAAAAAAATCCCATGTGTTGCTTAGGAATTTGACTGCAACAAGGTCAGGAAAAGGTATGAAAGAGACATCCTTTCTTTTTTCCTTATCCAGACTGGTGAGGTTTTCCTAAGGTAAAACTTGGAGCTAAATTCAGTTTGGTTTGGAAGGGATTTCAGGATCATCCAGTTCCAACCCCTGACATGGGTAGGGACACCTTCTACCAGCCCAGGTTGCTCCAAGCCCCGTCCAACCTCGAACACCATCAGGTATAGTCCACAGCCTCTCTGGACAGGAGAGAAGGATTTAGTGAGCCAGGAAAAAAGAGAGAAGGGCAAGAACTGGAGTTTGCAGAGGGAGAATCCATTTGTGGTATTTCCAGCTGGGAGGACGGAGCGAGAAGAGATTCCCTGGAGTTGTGGATGCTTCTGGTTGGAGGAGCTGTGTGAGGAGCCCTCAGAACCTCTAGCTGTTCTGGAATTCTGCAGCCTCGTGTTCTCTGTTTCCCATTGCAGGAGCAAATCCCATTCGGAAATCAGCCTGGAGGGGTTCTATGAGACGAAGCCGCTTTCTCCCGTGCAGAAGGACCCCGTGGAGCTGCTTCTCCTGGACACCAAGGAACGTCTCTCCGTGGAGCTCCAGGACCGCCGCGCCCCTCTGGCCACCATGGAGAGCCTCTCGGACAACGAATCCATCTACAGCTTCGATTCCCGGCGCTCCTCCGGCTTCCGGAGCATCCGGGGCTCCCCCAGCCTCCATGCGGTCATGGAGAAGGACGAGACGCACTGCTTTTATATAGACCCCGTTATCCCTGAGGAGAACCCTTCCCTCAGCTCCCGGACAGAGCTGCTGGCTGCTGACAGCCTCTCCAAGCATTCCCAGGAGACGCAGCCCCCGGAAAATGTCCTCAACAGCGGCGGCACCACCCCCCAGCGCCGCTGCAGCGCCGAGGGCACCGGGAGCGACGGGGAGCGTGCGTCCTCGTCCCCGCGGGAAGAGCCCCCGCTCCACAACGGCCGCCTGGCCGACGTTCCCAGCCCCCAGGTACTGGAATTTGCCGAGTTCATCGACAGCCTCTTCAACCTGGACAGCAAAAGCAGCTCCTTCCAGGACATTTACTGCATGATGGTGTCGGACAGCTCCAGCGACTTTGCGGAGATTCCCAAATCCGTCAGCGACCAGGAGATCCTGCTGAGGGCACAGTACGAGCCCAACTTAGTCCCAAAGCCCCCGAGGTTGTTTGCGGGCTCGACGGATCCCTCATCGGGAATCTCCGTGTCGCCCTCCTTCCCCCTTAGCTCATCCGGAGAACTCATGGATATCACTCCCACGGGTGTGAGCAGCCAGGAATGCCTGGCCACGGACAAAATCCGGACTTCCACCCCTTCTGGACACGTAACCAGCCCTGCCAAGCAGGACGACCTCATGATTTCGGCCCTTTAGTGCAGGGGAAAGGGGTGGAATGATCCCAGTGGGATAATCCATGGAGGAGGCTGTCATCGGGCAGTTGGGATCAGAGGAGACAGCTGGAAAAATCCTTTCTGGGGTGACCCAGTGGTGGTGTCTGGAGGATGGATTGTGCTGGAATTCTGTGCTTGGAGCTGGGAGAAGCTTTGCCCCGCGGGGCCTGAGAGGGTCTGAGGCACTAAAGTTCCCTACCTCAGCCTGTCTCATTCCAGAGGCAGATTCCTTGCCCTGGGGCACCTGCTGAGTTTGGGAGTGAGATACTTGGATAGATGGAAGCAGGAGGGAGCTGGGCCAGATCCCTCTCCTCGGGACCGAGCCGGTGGTTGTGGGAAATGAGCGGATTGAGACTTTGGGCCCTGTTGCACTACCACGGATCCGGCCCAAGATCCAATTCGGCACACTCCCATGGGGATTGCTTTTGTAGGACACTCCTGTTTTAAAGCCATTGGGGCTGTATTCCCCCCAAATCCAGTCTCCCCTTCCCGGCCAGGCGCAGCAGGAATGGGGCTGGCACCGTGGTTTCTCTCCCCCGAGCACTCCTGAGAGAGGGAAGGACGCTGTTCCCAAGAGCCCAATCCCTCTGCCTTTGGCAGAAAGTTCTCCTGGATATCACCCCCATCACTCCTTGGTTCCCTGGACCCCTCTAAGCTGGCGACATTCCTGTGGGACTGCCAGGATTCTCATCTCAGAGCTGCATGGATGTGGATGGATCAACTGCAAGATGCACCTGGCATTATTTTCCAGTCCCCTGTGGAGTCTGGGAGTCTCTCCTGGATCCCTGGGGGTCCTCACACCACTCACATGCAGCATCCACAGTGGATCAGTGCCAGCCTCTGTCATTGGGAATTCAGGGAAAAGATGGACTTTTTCCCAGTGTTGCAATCTCTTGTATGTTTACAGAGCTGCTGAGCTGGTTGGAAGGTATTTATTAAGGAAATAGGGAGGCTTTCCTGAAGGAAAATCCATGGTCATCCTCTCCTTCCCATGCTGTTCCCTCTGGGGACTGAGGGAAGAGAGGATGGCAGGCAGAATTCTAAGCCCCCTGCTTCCCAAGTGGCTTAGATGTGGGGGTAACTGCCTGCCCCCTCTCCCCACCTGCACAATTCCATGTAGGAAAGCTTGAGCAAGTTAGGAAAAACTACCTGAGCCTCCGGGCCCAGAGGAGCCTGCTCCGCCTCTCCAGGCAGGTTTTCCAGTGATGGGAGCAGGAGGAAAACTACCTATTGTAGGAAATGAAACATTCTTGGGACCTGGAAAAGGCCTTGAATTGCCACAACTCCCCCTCAAAGCTAAGCAGTTACTGATGGCTCTCCATGGAGCTCCCTGGAAAAGAAATTCCTGGTTTAACTTCCTTAGAATCCTGTGGTTGCTCCCTTTTCCCCTTCTTAGCAGTGCTATTTTCATTGTAGGTGGATGCTGTGCTTTCCAGGAGCTCGGCTCCTGGCAAATCCCAGCTTCCTGTTCTCCATGTGGGCTGTGGAAGCGCTGGGATGGGTCAGGGCTGTGCTCCCTGGGAGCCAGTGGGATCCAATGCCATTGAGGAGCACTTTATAACCACTGTGCATTGATGTAAACAATCCTGGGTGCACGGAATTCCACTGGATTCTGGGTCCAAGTGCTGATATCCCACTCCATCCAGCGTGGGATGCTCCAGCCCCTGCTCCTTACCTGTTTCAGAGCCTTCAGAAGTGCTTGAAGCAGCCAGGAAAACATTATCCCTGTGGGTTAAGGTTCCAAAGGTGACCTTTCCCTCCCTGAGTGGAATCAGAGGGAGGAAGCCCCTCTGGATCCAGAGAAATTTGGAGAAGGAAAAATCCTTTTATTCTGAGCAACCAGAAGTTCTTTTTGTTTTTGTAGGTCCTTAAAAAAGGAGCAGGGAGCAGGTGGTTTGGGAGCACAGCACAGGGTAAGGAGGAATTCCTGCACTCAGGAAACACTACCGAGGTGATTTTTTGGGAGTACGCACAAAAATCTGAGAAGGTTTGAGGGGAAAATGGGAGCTGAGGGGCAGGGAGGCTGGGGCTAGCGGGCTAGCTCCCCTTCTGGCCCAGGAGCTGGGATAAGGAGCTCATTCCTGCCCTTATTCCCAGCAGGAATTAACCCTTAGCACTAAGGCAGAGCTTGGGATCTGCAAAGCACTTTAAAGCACTAAGGAAAATTATCATCTCTGTCCCTGGGAGCAACATGGATACCTGGGATTAGATGGAACTACTGGTGGGAGGTGCCTCCAGGTGAGGAAAAGTGGGATATCTCCCTCCTGAAATGATTCCAGTGGGAACCTGCTGATGTTCCATGGCTCAAATGTTGCACTAGAAAGTCCCTTCCCTGACATTCCTCTGCTGTGTCCTGGAAGACTCAGTCCTTGGGTGGCTGTTTCCTTCTTTGTGCCATTGGAACTGTATCCCATAGGAATGGCCTTCCCTTGCCCTGACAGGAAGCAGTCTGGAATGCTGCAGTATTTTTGCTCTGTGATTACTGGACTTTGGAAAACCTGGAAACACATAATTCCTGGGAGCTGGGCTTGCCACAGGTCAAGGAGTAAAGGCACAAAAGAGTCCCTCAAAGGTTCTCATTGTATCCTATCATGGATAATTCCTGGTTTTTGTTGACAAACAGATCTGATCCCAATCCTTTCAAATGAAATTCACATTCTTGGAATTATTTCTGCTTTAAATGTCTCCATGTCTTGATCCCCATTACTGTGTCTTGATCCCTAGCATTCCATGTCTCCATTCCCATCACTCCTTTGCTATATGGGTATTTGGGAAGGCTGATCTCCCATATCCTCCTGGAAAAGCACACCTGGAATGCTGAAATAAATGTTAAAGCTGCAGCTACCTCCTTCATCTGTACTGTACACACTTCCTGCTTTCTCTTCCTGCTCTGTCTTTGGGAATATGAAGCATCTCCAGTTCTCCAAATCTTTTGGCTTCTGCTTCTTCCTCTTGAGCTTTGTGCCTTCTGATCTTTGGATATTCCCATGATATTCCAACAGGATGTTCCACCCTGTGCAGAGGCAGTGCTGGAAGTGCCTGACACCCCAGACTGACTAACAGGTCACCCATTCCATGCCTCATCCTTAAAATCCATTCTGATCCTTCTTCCTTGGACTGAGTGACCTTTAAAGGTCCTTTCCAACACTGCTGAGTGTTGGTATTCCAAGAGTTTCTTGGCAGAGGGATGGAGCGGAGGCTCTTCTGCACCAGTAAATTGATTTTATTGTTGCTTTCATTGCAGCAGTGCCAAAAATTTGGGAAGGATCCTGCAGTGCTAAGGATATACCAGCTCTTTTCCAATATTTATCATTGCTTCTTCTCCATGGGGGCTGCCTTCTCCATTTGGAATATTCATTTCCTCCTAAAAGCTTCCCTCTTTTCTTTGCTCCCTGTGCTTCTCACTTATTTCAGGAGCCACCTCATCCTTCCCATCTCTCAGGGTGCTGATGGCTCATTCCACATCCTTGGTAGCACATGGGAAACATGGGAAAACTATCCCAAAGCAGTTAAATTAGATTCTTGGAACTTTTTAGGAACTTTTTTTCCAAAGCAAACAGGATTAGTGGGAGGTACTTTGGTCTCTGCAGAGGGCTGCCATGGCAGAGGGTGGGGAGTGTGGTTACAGAATTCCAGTGATTCCCAGTTCTATTCTTTTAGGATGCTAGATTCCAGGAGCAGTTGATGGTCCCATGCAGAATTAAAGTGGGAAATCTGTTTCCGAGGGCACGTAAGAAGGAGGAGAAGCTCCGAGTGTGGGGATGCAGGATGAATATCTAACACATTCTCCATGCACTTTGATGTTTTCTCAGCTTCTGCTGCTCTTTTCCTGCAGGCAGATAATATTATTTCCATGGACTCGCCCACACAGCTTTCATTTACAAATTGGGACATAGGAATAATCAGGATTACTCCTGGCAATGGGAATTAGGTAGGATTAATTATTGCTGGAATGGGTGTGTTTGGATTTGTGTTTTGAGGCTGTATCCAAGACCCTCCATTGGGCTGCAGAGTCCTTCTGTGTTTGCCTTGGGAATTGCTGGGCTGGAGCTCCCCTCCATGCTGGGTTTGTCCTTATCCATTCTGGGATATTCTTCCCTTGGCGGTAGGACATTCTGGCTTTGCAGGATGGGAGCAGGAATATTTAATTCCAGTGGATTTAGGGATAGTGGTTGTAACTGCAGCCTTTGAGTAACATTGCCAAGGGGGGGTGTAGATTCCTCATTTCTGGAAATATTCCAGGCCAGGTTGGATAAGGCTTGGAACAACCTGGGCTAGGGAAAGATGTCCCTGTCCATGGCAGCAGGTGGGAGCTTCCAAATGATTCTGGAATTCTGTGATCCCTGTTTGCAGTGTTACAGTGCTGCAGGAAAGGGAAGGTTGGAATTCCAGCAGCACCTCTGCATGGATTGCTCTGCTGAGAAATCCCTCTGGAGGAAGCAGTTGGAAAGCGCTGCCTGGAACTGGGCTCATTGCTTTGTTCCCAGATCCTGTGCAGTGCTGATTTTTGGGAAGAGCTGCTGGATTTCAGGAAGAGCCTCATTTCTTGTGCCAAAGCTCCCTCTCATGGCTCCCATGTGGAGGAAGTAATGCTGCATGGATCCTGCTGGAGGCAAACACAGCCCATCTTTGGCAGCTGTGGGAAGAAGGAGTGGAGGGAACATTGCAGCTGGAAGCTGGCATCTCCAGTCAGAGCCACAGGGGAGTTGTGGATGCAGAGAGGGATGGGAAGGGGGCTGGATCAGCAGTCACTGATGTCCTTCCCCTTCTTCCAGCTCCAAGGAGCTGCTTAAGGGCTGGAAATTCCAAATAGCCGAGGATTAGGGCAATTCCTTGCTTTGTTATGGGGAATCATCATCAGCCTCCAAGTGCTTTGCTGTCTCAATTCCCACTGTTTTTTCCATGTTTTTTTGAGTTCATACCTCTTGTGCCTTTGTTCTCCCTGGCTTCAGGTCCCAATTTCTGGGATCACACGTCTCCCACCTTACTTTCCCGCTTCTCTGGGAGTATGGAAGTGTGGCCAAGGCCTGGCAGGAGCTGCCCTTGCTCCTGAGCTCTCCCATTCTGCCTCAGCCAGGACTTCCCACACCTTCCCACTTTTCCCTGCTGCCTGAGGTCGTATCCAAGTGCCAAAAGCAAATCTTGACCTGAGGCAGGCAATTTCCTCCAACTCACACCAAGTTTCTCCCTGGCTCTGGAGCAGCTCCCTGGGAATTTTTCCAGCTTTCCTTGTTATGTCCAGTCCCTCTGATGTCACTGTGTCACACCATGCTGCATGTCCTGACTTTCCCACCTTCCCAGCACACCTGCGTGCTGAGGGATGACTCCCTGTCTTCACCTCTTGATTCCTGAAAATCCTTGCAGCACAGGAACAGGCCTTGACACTGGTTTCTCTTTGGATTCCACTTCCCTGCTTCCCATCCTGGGCTTTGTGCAGTTCCAATGGCTCAGAGTCAGAAGTCCCAGCTGGGGTGGCACGGGTCTGTCCTGCTGGGATATCCACTTTTGGGAAGTTTGTGTGCAGAGGGATCCTGGCAGGGGTTTTTCCTAGGACGCTGCCACACCCTTTGGGTCCTCACTCCTTTCCTGGGATGTCCCCAGCACTTGGTGGTGGCAAAGTGGCCTCACCTGCAGCTCCAGCTTCCCACCTTTCTCTCCACAAGTCCAGGGAATACTCTCGAGCTCCTGTCCTGGCACTATGTGGAATTCCTACTGGCACAGGGATATCTGGGGATGGGCTGTGCCTCCCTGTCTGGAATGTTGAGCCCTGTGAGCCCTTTTCCTTTGGCTCTGCCTCTCTGGAAAAGCCCTTCCTGCCTGTCACCTGTGTCCCATCTCGTGCTGGGGCAGCTCAGAGCAGGATACCTCTGGATTCATTTCCTGCTGGATCCTAATTGCCTCCTTGGAGCTGAAGCCTTTGGCATTTTTGGGAGAAGTAGCCCTTCCAGGGAGCTCTGAGGCACTCCCACTGCTTCTGGCAGGGCTTGGAGCACTCGGATATGCAACTGGGGGGGGAAAACAGCCCAGCATCCTGCGTCCCCATGCTCATCCTGGGAATGCTGCCCTCTGAATCCCTGCTCCAAGCTGCCCCAGCATGAAGATTCCAAGGAAACTCAAGCACTCCTCATGTGCCCTTCATTCTCCACGTGACTTTTTTTGTACCTCTGTATGAAAGATCTGAACTAATCCCGCTGTAAAGAAAGATTGGATGAATTATAACCTAATTCCAGAAACATGGATGTATATAAATTTTCTGTATATTCTATGGCACTCTGTATAAAATGGATGTTGGAAGCATGGCTGGAGTATGTGACTGTTGCCAAGGATGTCCTGGACACGGATGGTTGGGAATTGCCTGAGGTTTCTGCCTTGAAGGGTGGTGAGTGAGGTGGGAAGGACACCAGGAATTGGGTGTGTGGCACTTGGGAAGGATCCTGGGAATCACTGGGGGTTGGTTGTTTCTTCTCCAGCTCTCTCTGCTCTGGATCTCAGCCTTTGGAGTGGGAAAACACTTGGGGGAACATCCAGAGCTTGTGGATTTGCCATCCCATGGCCAGGCTGGAGCAGGCTGGAAGTTGTCCTGGCAGTAGTGGAAGGTGTCCCTGCCCATGGCTAGGATGGAGCTGGATCTTTAAGGTCCCTTCCCACCCAAACCATTCCAGGACTCCATGATCTCTGTCCCTTGAGATGAGTTCTAGGAATTTCTCCTTCTGTGGAGAAGGAAATTAAGGTAGGAACTGGATGCTTTGAGTTATTCCAAGTTAAATTCAACCT